ACAAGCTATTTACATTGAGTGTGTTTTGAAAATTTAAATGATTCCAAAAGGAATGAAAATTAACAGGAATATTTTGACGTGTATATTATTTGGTCACGTCTCTATATATACCATTATGTTAATAAGAACAAGCCAACATAACGATCTATATTCAATTGATTATATCAAGTAAATTTCCCCCAGGTATATACAATTTTACCCCGTTACTTTCATCTCTCTATATTCGCTATTAGAAATCTGCCTGTCTGTGTCTTAACAAAAGCCTTTCATCTAATATAGCTACAGGCCTTCATTCAATGGATTGAAAGGCAGTTCCTATTACATCTTCAGGCACCAAATTCTAGAATGAGATTGGCCCCAGGCCACAATGGAATCTTATTTCCTGTCTTCCTGCAAGCAATGTAAAATGAGATGAGAGATTGGGAAAGAGTGATGGTTTGTCGATATATGGTTGTTAAAATTTTATAATATGAAGAATATTGTTAAACATATAAAACCAGGTATTGATGTTGTTTATCAATACTTTAATATCATATGAATAAGTTTCAGATAGAAACAAATCCTCGTGAATTCCAGATTCAATTTCTCATAATATTATAAATTACCGACGCTTCGGATTTTTTACTTGTAAACTTTAGAAATTGGCATGGAAAAATGTTTGTATTGAACTGAAGCTAGGATCCTGCTTGGGATTTTGTTCATTGACAGTTGAAACTCTACAAGCTAGCAAATCTAGAACTACCTTACAACATTCCCTTCGAAGTACACATTTTGTCGCCATGAGTAGCCCAAGCAAAGAAATTTTAATAGGCCACAAGAGAAATTGCCTGTGGATGAAATTTTATACGCCTACATGTAAATGTGGACGTATATTGCCGTTCCCCTGTCCACCCGCCCGTCCGTCCACATTTCAATTAGACACAATAGAAACTGTAGTTTTAATTAGATTTTGATGACACTTGGTGTGCATGGATATATTGATGTTCTTGGTCAAGGTAGGATTTGGTAATAATCGGATGAATGGTTTTGGATTTACTACCCTCGACTCAGTAAAAAAACAAATTTGACCTGTAGGCACGAATGGGGCACTAATTTATCCGATCTTAATGAAACTTGGTATGCATATATAAATATATATATATTAGTAGGTTCAGTCAATTTTTTAATGTGGTAATAATAAAATGAAAGGTTTTGGAGTTATTGCCCTTGACTTAGTATAAACGCGTCAAATTTAGCTTTCAGACACGATAGAGGCTACAGTTTTTATTCCATCTTGATGCATATTATGTTGATGAGATCTCGGTCAAGTTAGAATTTGGTAATACTTGGAGTAATGGTTTTGGAGTTATAGCCCTTGACTTAGTAAAAATACATTATATTTGGCTTGTAGACGCGATAGAGACTAAATACTTACTTGATCTTTATTAAACTTGGCATGTTAATATATATTGATGAGATCATCATCAAGTTTGATTGTTTGAATGGTTTTAGAGTTGTTGCTCTTGACTGAGTAAAAAAGTTGGTTTGTATACACGATAGAAGTTCCAATTCTAAATCGATCTTTACTAAACATGGTATGCATTTATATATTGTTAAGATCTTGATTGATAAACGAAAAATAGACCTAATTGTCTATCCAAATTTGGTGAAATTTGAAACTTGTGTGAAATTTTAATGCTGACGAGACCTTATTTATGTGCAAACTACAAATTCATTTTGAAGATATTAGATATAAGAAAATTCGTATATTCGTCACTTAACACGTTATCATTTCTAGCAGCTGCCAGTGAGCGTACGTTACTTTGCCTGGCAAACATTCTTCATACTTTTCTGTCCCTAATTGGGTATATTTTGCCAGGACAGCGGAATAAGGTTTTAGACATGCTCTTTTATTAAACTGACAAGGAATATTTATATGTATAGAATCTTGTATTATTCAGTAGGCTAAGACATTATATATTTCAGTGCTGCCAACAGATGCATCGCGAATGCAAGCAATGAAAACCACATTTTACCAAGCGACATTAGGAAATTAGGCAATATAACATTCAGCTTAATAGATGAAATTTGAGCTTGCTGGACACAGTACAATATCATTTTCTATAGTACATGTACATTTATTTAAAATATATAATATTTAACATTAAGGAATATTTCAAAATAGGCTATACATTTGAATGAACTCTGATGAGCGTGTAAAATACAATATATCATATTTTCGTATTTAATCTCCTACTTTCATTTATTAATTTAATTTGTATACATGGATTTAATGTGTGAACTGAACCAAACCAAAAGCTCAAGGCAACATTCTAAAATCATCAAACTCAGCTAATGTAATTTACCCTTGGGCAAAAATGAGGGGGTATTAGTCCTGTTGTATGCCTAGGGCCAAATCGCTGAAAACATCCATCTTAACATATTAATGCCCACAGGCGATGCCTAAAGCCAGACCCACGCTCCTCTGTTGGCGCCATTGAACTTGGCTGTAAGCTGTTCCAACTGTATAGGACTGAAGACAAAGGTGCTCTGAGGTGAAACATACATTTTCTCAAAATAACATAAAGTAATAGAAATAACAAAACCAAAATACATTTATAATGCATTTAGATTGCAGTCATATAAAAATAGTGCTAAAGGATTGACTGTATATTACGGAAGCATAGAGGGAACAAGAGATAAATTAAAATTGTAACTCGTGGCAACAACTATCTCGTGATCGCGACTAAGCTTTCTCGTGTCCACGACTGATATATAGGCCACGACCTAACATCATAAAATAATTATTCAGTATCATATGTCCTCACTATGCTTCCGTAGTATATAGCAATGTACTGCTAACATCGCAGTAAAATTAAAAGATAATGCAATCATCGATTGGTGCTTATCTGTTGAAATTGTTAGTGCAAACAACAGCTTACTAGATTTCGTGGTTACAACAGAAATTGTCTCCAACTCATTTGATTCTTTCCTAGACCCACTCGTCTAATCAAAAGACGTAGAATGTACAGGTAAAGGTACTGAATTTAACGACCACCAAGAACAAGTAATTACCTGGTGTTATTTTTATCATGTATCAATATTCTTGTTCCAGTTTGGGTCCAAATTCTGCAAATGCTAATATTCCGAATATAAAGTAATGAACCGACATCATGAGAAAATCTTGTCCGAATCCTCCTCTCTTAGGCTCCTAAAGGTATTTTTTCTTCCACCACAAAAATGATGAAACCAGAGGGAAAGGATCATTGAGAAAGGATGACAGTATCAACCCCTTTAATATACTCTTGTCTGGCTGTCTGAATTGTTCCCTGGATTACATGATAATTAGTATGGCCGCAAGAAACTACCAACTTTTTGGCTGCCTGTCAGAAATAATTCCAATATTAGTGATGGGTAATTTGTATAAATTTCTAGCTGAAGGCACCAGGCTATATTCAAGTAATTATTGTAAGCGTTTATTTTCTCGACTCGTTTCTGTAAACATCTGTAGTATAAACCATTGTATCATTTAGACAACATCAACTAAGTTGGTTCTTGTATTTTGAGTTTTGCTTTTTATGAACAATCTGAGCAATGACCATGATAATGAATAAGTCTTTTGGTAACTTGTAGAGAATACCAAGACTGTAATATAGTTTTGTCTCCAATTTTTCAAATTATTAATAACAAATATGTATATGTGACGTCACTATACTCAACCTGTCTTATATTAATATTATCTTGAGGTTATTCAAATAAGACTGAATCAAACTTAAATCAGAGTAAAGGAAAGCCTTGTTACCTCCTGACAACTCACAATTATATCTACACCACTATCTAATAAGCCTTATGTAGGGCTGTGACTCAACCTTTCTAAAAAAAATTCGTTACGTCCTCGTAGTAGCCTGTTACATAATATAGGCCTACCAGTATGACATATATAAAGGCTTAGTATAACCTTTATTAATTCATATCAGAGCCAAATAAGAGACCCCCCCCCCCCCCCCTACCCCCCTCTTCCAATAATACCCACTAGAATTTTTACCAACAATAAATACAGGCCCTAATCCATTTGTAGCCTACCCCACAATATATATTATTAACACGAACACAATTATATAGATAACAATTACTTTAATAAATAACTTGCGACGTTTCGAATCATCGTCGAAACGTCGCAAGTTATTTATTAAAGTAATTGTTATGGTATTATCTTAATAGCTTATTTAAATTACTATAATGTTAGACCAATTTTAATTTTTTTCATGAAAAAATACGATTAAATTTGGAAGCAGCACGCAGGCGTCGTCATGGTAGTGTGAGTAGGTCTTAACAACTCGCGCGAAATACAGAATGGGCCTAAGGGCATCCCGCGAGTAAAATGCTCTATATGTCGACTCAGTTAGTTCAGTTTTACTTCGGGTATTGTGGCAGCTGGTCTAGCTTTTCTATTTATCTCGTAGTATAAAAGAGGGAAACTTGTACAAGGTAAGGTCTATTTTTTGTTTTATTTAATTACTTTATCTGGATTGTGTGGGCTACTGGTATTAATGTGATGTGGCGGAGGTCAACAAATTCAAATATAGTGACAAGCGCTCGTTATATAGACCCTAGATTTCCAACACGACAATTTCAAAATCATTTATCAGTGTTTTCTAAATTTTAGTTACGTAGGCCAAGAGGTTAATCGCCTTGAATCTCTTGAAATATCTACTCATTTCACTGATATTAAAATACCTGTACTATGTCTTAATTAATTAATAGCAGTGAGGCAACGCTGAAGCAAATGATATTGATATTTTTACCGAAAGAGTAAAAAATGCATTAAGTAATAATCAAGATTATTTGGAAACTGGATTATGCTATAAAAGTTGAATAAAAACTGTGGACTTTGAATACCAGTGTAGACCTATATTGTTCTGTTCGCCCGGATAAAAGTACGTGAAATAAACAGTCGGGCATATGTGGGCCCACATTTTAAAAGTATCATACTGTTTGATTACAGGTTCTGTATGACCAACATGTCCTCACCCGTGACTTCACGGCCATCTTCAGCAACAACGCCTAATGGTCATTTTCCCAAGATAGGGTTATCAGGTGTTCCATGTCCAGCCACACCAACTAGATATACAGCGCCAGTTCATATTGATGTTGGTGGTGTAATTTATACATCGTCTTTAGAGACTTTAACCAGGTGAGTCAAATATAGCCTATTGATAAACATATAAAAGGTCTAACCATGTTACGCTGCAAAAAAACTTCAATGGCCATTGCTTGAAAGCAATTCGCTGTCTTATCAATAGAATTGGTACGCTTAGGACGACGTATTTCTAATGTGTCTTTATTAGTGAAAACCATGATTCACTCCAGATTATGCTTTCAAATCAAATTTTGATAAAACATGACGTGTACTGATTACATTAAACGTAGACACAAGTACAGAATGAATGATACAACAATATACTACTACATATCGACAAACTGAAACAACATTTATACGTATACACATCGAAATGTGTAAACTGATACAACAATACAACTACTCATACAGGCACATTTACAGGTACGAATATATTCTTATGTATACTGACATATTTACTGCTAAGCACATATACTTATGCATACAAACACATTAATTTACTGGTACCCATATAATTATACTAATGCATATACTGACATTATATACATAATAATGTACTAATGCATACTGACATTTTTATTGATACAACAATATACTAATGCATACTGATATGTTTACTGGTACTTATAGCTACTAATGCATACTAACATAATTATGTACTAATACAACAATATACTAATGTATACTGACATGCTTACTGATTATATACTGATACAACAATATTCAAATGCATACTGGCATATGTACTGATACAACAATATACTAATGCATACTGATATGTTTACTGGTACTTATAGCTACTAATGCATACTAACATGATTATGTACTAATACAACAATATACTAATGTATACTGACATGCTTACTGATTATATACTGATACAACAATATTCAAATGCATACTGGCATATGTACTGATACAACAATATACTAATGCATACTGATATGTTTACTGGTTGGCCATTACTAATGCACATCGACACATTTCCCGATACACCAATATTAATGCACACTAATACTGATACTCGATGATGCTCCTTCCTTTTCCACTGAAAATAAATCAAATTCGGATTTGATCGTGACAGAGAACCATAGCCATATTAGATCATAGCAATATGTACATGTACTAATACAACAATATTTATGCATACGTAGATACAATGACAACTGTACTATTATACATGGACACATTTACTGAAACCCCAATAATACAAAATGATGCATTTATCTATACACTAATACATACAGATACATGTACTAATACACAAGATCACATTAACTTATAGGCTACACCGCCACATGTCTGATACACATATTAGGGGTGCATTAGAACAATAGATCGTCTTTATGGAAGCAATAGATCATATATACTGAATTTTACATGTATTGACGCATTTAAGATATTTAAGAAATTATTTTTACTGATAGGCTACATGAAACATACTGATATATTAGAACATATTTTAGTATGTAGCCTTATTTTACCGATATGACGTCACGAAATCTACCTACATGCAAGACTGATATCACTGCAATGAATATGTTCTTTCTGTGTTTATATATGAATTTTCTGTGTGAAAAGTGATACAGATAGCTGAAATCTAGCTTCTTATGTGGCAAAGCAAATATTATGACGATTACAGGAACTGACGGTATTTGAGCCCTTTCTTTGCCATCTGTATGGAAATCTGTACATTATCTACAAGACTGAACACCAATGTATTAAATACCAAACTATAACTTGCAGCATTTATATATAATTAGTGTTTAGAGATAACAAGTGGTTATAGTATTGTGCCTTATGGTCAAAAATACTTCACTTTCTGCTTTCGACTTGATTTCTTATTTAACCACAAGGCATTGAGAAGCCAAGTACCTCTTCACTTTATATGCAGCAAATCCAGTATCCGGTAGAAACATAGGGAACGAAATTATAAACAATTCCTGTAAAACCCGCAGGTTATGTTCTAAAATGTCGATTTTAATAGAACACGAGTTTTAAACTCCTAGTATGTGGTTATGTATGACAACAATATTGCTGAAACTATAGGCCTACTCATAGCAAAGCGAGTAAAAGTTGCAAAATTTTTTAAAGGAATTAATTTTTATGGCATTTTTCAGAATTACTTACTTTCCCTTTTTTTTACTTCACACTCGGAAAATGGATATGAATGCAGATTAGCGTCACATAGTAGATAGGAAATTGAATTTGGGGCAAGATCATGCTCTCGAATTTTTCAACCCGATTGTAATGCTGGTCGGAGGGACTGACATGGATAAAGAGTCTAGTCGTTCTGGTGGGACAATACAAAGAAGCTTCATATGCTACAGACATTACCATCAAAAGATTAAAATCGAAAAAGAGTAGCTTCAATCCCAGAAAAATATCCTCTATTGCACACTACATGGCATTGCCGGTTTTCATCTGTCCAATTTATCTGATTTCATTCCCAAGAAAAACATATGCCTATTGACGTGGGCTGGTGGTAATTTCCTACAAGATCATTCTAGACATTAATCTTGCATATAGAGAGTCTAGTCTGTACAAAACGCCTCAAACCATTTCATCAATAATTACAATGTTCTTTTTCAAAGGCCTTTAGTGTTCACGCCCGATAGAACTACATTGCTTCTTAAACTCAAGAAATAAGAGAAAATATTTTGCCTGGAGCCATTCTTTTACTTCTGCTTGAAATCTTTCTTACTTGCCCTAAAATAGAACATTATAAGTTTGATACACTCACTAACTTGCCTTTTTCTCAATCGTGTACAACAACATCTTGAAACAAAAAATAACCTAATTTAGCCCTCTATATTTAACACTCGTGTTTCGGGCGAGAAAGAAATTACTAGTTCTTTCCAATACACTTTATGCAACTTCAATTGAGATTATCCGCAATTCTTTTTAAACTATGAGCAATATATTAACCTCTTAGCTAATCTTTTATCTTATATTTTCGAAACAATACAGAAGTTGGTGTGATCTAATTAATATGATCATCACTAAACAAGCGTCATCTAGCAGTCTTACAGATGCAAGAGTAGCCTAATTGATGAAGGTTTGAAAGTTTTAGTTTTAGATACTTTGCACGCCCCGCAGACGAATCTTTATTAATGTTTTACGTCTTGATGGCCGTAAGATTCAAGTTGAATCTCACGATTGAAAAACCTTTTTTCTGTACAGTTTTTATGTAATAATTGTATTTGGTATGAACGTGTTCATCATCCATCTATATTAATCGTTTGTATAGCTGAAGATTTACTTGGTTGCTAGGGAAGAGGTAACAAACGGCCCCAGGCCATAACATGAACTAAATTTTCTCTAATGTCACATCGTGTAAATTTACTTGATAATTTTCCAGTCCTCGGGCCTATTTACTAATCCTAATCTTTTCAATTGAGAAGACTGGTTAAAACTTGTACACGTCTTTCTCAATAACTTCATCACTCTATGATATTCACACATTTTTTTAAACACAATTTTTACATTTTTTATATCATACGTTTAAAATTACCCATCTATATTGTTCTCTTGTCAACAGAAACTTTTACAGTGTTTGATCCAAGGCCTTGAGGGGGTGAAGTTGGCAATCACGATAATTAAATAAAAATGGCGTTTCACAAAGACTAAAGTTGGGTAAAAAATGAGAAGCTATTGTAATTGAAGCTGGTTTTAGCTGGAGGGTAAATGTAGCCTGGTTGGTTGATAGAGGTCTATCAATAGTCAGGTTTTCAACACATTTCTTTTTACAATACGACTAAATGAGTGGTAATAATGACAGACAGTCGAGTGAAATTCTATCCACTAGTCGAAGATTACACCTTCAGGCTAAGAATTTAAATGAAGTTAGGTAGATGCCTCTAGGCGGGTAATCGGCTTTCAAATATATAGACGACAAACAAGTCGACCGCGTGGGGTTCTCTTTTTCCTCTATTATATTATCCCACATAGCTTAGCCTATTATATATCCAGATTGGATATTCTTGGAATATTATGAAATAAATGTTTGTTATTGTAGGCCTTTTCATGTGAAAACATTTCGTTTCCAATATTTAGGCCTATGTCGTCAAGCAAGTTTGGGCTTATCACGCCTTCATTCAAAGTTAAATAAGGTTTAATAAGGAGCTCCATATCTATCCATTCATTTGAAGAATATGCCTACAAGTTCAATTCAATATGAGAAAGTTAAGTTTGATAGTGGGGTGTGGGTTAATTGAGAATGTAAGACTCATTGATAGTGTGGGATAATTAGAAATCAAACAGTTTTAGAGAGAAATGTAAGAATTGTTGATAGTTCGGTGTGGGTTGATTTAGAACAGATTATTTTAAGAATAATTGACAGTGCTTTTAAGGTTGATTAAGAATTGAATAGTTACGGAGATCATAGTAAGAATCGTTGATAGTGCGGTGTGGGTTAATTGAGAATAGAATAGGTATACAGAGATCGTTGTTAGAATCATTGATAAAGCATTGTGGAGTAATTGAGAATAGAATAGTTTTAAGAATCGTTGTAAGAATCATTGATATTGCGGTGTGGGTTAATTGAGAATAGAATAGTTTAGAGATCATTGCAAGAATCATTGATGGCGCGTTGTGGGATAATTGAGACTAAAATTGTTACAGAGATCGTTGTAGGAATCATTGATAGTGGGGTGGGGGTTGATTGGGAACAGAATAGTTACAGATATTGCAAGCGTCATTGATAGTGTGGTGTGGGTTAAGTGAGTTTACAATTCTTACAGAGATTATTGTAATAAACGTTGATAGTGCGGTGTGGGTTAATTATTGATAATAGAATAGTTTAAAGATCAGTGTAGTATCCATTGATAGTGTGTTGATTGTTAATTGTGAATAGAATGGTCTAGAGATCATTGTGATAATCATTGATACTGAGCTGATGGTTAATTGAGAATAGAATAGTTTAGAGATCATTTTAAGACTTATTGATAGTGCGCTGATGGTTAATTGAGAATAGAATAGTTTAGAGATCATTGTGATAATCATTGATAGTGAACTGATGGTGAATTGAGAATAGAATAGTTTAGAGATCATTGTGATAATCATTGATAGTGAGCTGATGGTGAATTGAGAATAGAATAGTTTTAGTGATCATTGTAAGAATCATTGATAGTGAGCTGATGGTTAATTGAGAATAGAATAGTGTAGAGATCATTGTGATAATCATTGATAGTGAGCTGATGGTTAATTGAAAATAGAATAGTGTAGAGATCATTGTGATAATCATTGATACTGAGCTGATGGTTAATTGAGAATAGAATAGTGTAGAGATCATTGTGATAATCATTGATAGTGAGCTGATGGTTAATTGAGAATAGAATAGTTTTAGTGATCATTGTAAGAATCATTGATAGTGAGCTGATGGTTAATTGAGAATAGAATAGTTTAGAGATCATTGTAAGAATCAATGATAGTGAGCTGATGGTTAATTGAGAATAGAATAGTGTAGAGATCATTGTGATAATCATTGATAGTGAGCTGATGGTTAATTGAGAATAGAATAGTTTTAGTGATCATTGTAAGAATCATTGATAGTGAGCTGATGGTTAATTGAGAATAGAATAGTTTAGAGATCATTGTAAGAATCAATGATAGTGCGCTGATGGTTAATTGAGAATAGAATAGTTTTAGTGATCATTGTAAGAATTATTGATAGTGTGCTAATGGTTAATTGAGAATAGAATAGTTTAGAGATCATTGTAAGAATCGTTGATAGTGAGCTGATGGTTAATTGAGAATAGAATAGTTTAGAGATCATTGTAAGAATCATTGATAGTGAGCTGATGGTTAATTGTGAATAGAATGGTCTAGAGATTATTGTAAAAATCATTTATAGTGCGCTGATGGTTAATTGTGAATAGAATGGTCTAGAGATTATTGTAAAAATCATTGATAGTGAGCTGATGGTTAATTGAGAATAGAATTGTCTAGAGATTATTTTAAGACTCGTTAATAGAGCAGTGTGAAGTTATTGAGAATAGAATAGTTTTAGTGATCATTGTAAGAATCATTGATAGTGCGCTGATGTTAATTAAAAATAGAATGGTTTAGAAAACATTTTAAGAATCAATGATAGTGCGCGGATGGTTAATTGAGAATAGAATAGTTTAGAGATCATTGTAAAAATCATTGATAGTGAGCTGATGGTTAATTGAGAATAGAATAGTTTAGAGATCATTGTGATAATCATTGATACTGAGCTGATGGTTAATTGAGAATAGAATAGTTTAGAGATCATTGTGATAATCATTGATACTGAGCTGATGGTTAATTGAGAATAGAATAGTTTAGAGATCATTGTAAAAATCATTGATAGTGAGATGATGGTTAATTGAGAATAGAATAGTTTAGAGATCATTGTAAAAATCATTGATAGTGAGCTGATGGTTAATTGAGAATAGAATAGTTTAGAGATCATTGGGAGAATCATTATAGATTAGTTGTAAAAAAGCAATGGTTTTTCGCAGGAACCAAGGGCATTTACCGTGGGATATTTCAACAAAGATATTTTATTTTGAAAAAAGGCATTTATGGGTAGTTTCTTTTTAGTTGTAGAAAACTATGGACTAACTTGGTGCCTGTAATTAACCAATTTCTTTAGAAAAAATTGTTATTTTTATTTCAGATATCCAGAATCTAGATTAGCTAGAATGTTTAATGGTAGTATCCCGATAGTACTAGATAGTTTAAAGCAACATTATTTCATAGATCGAGATGGTAAAATGTTCAGATATATCCTTAATTATCTACGTTCTCAGAAACTTCTTTTACCCACTAACTTTAATGAATTTGACCAGCTTTTGGAAGAATCAAGATTTTATGATATAAATGGCATGGCTAAAGAGGTTGAAATGTTAAGAGCTTCTAAACTTGGGATGAAATTGCCGCATCAGATTAAAACAGAACCGAATACATCTACTACAACAACCCCCACTACATGTACCAGTGAATTCTATGATTGTATTGCTGTAAGTATCAGTCCAGACCTAGGGGAACGGATCAGTCTTAGTGCAGAACGAGCCTTGATTGAGGAGGTTTTCCCAGAGTTGTCGTCAGCCTTGGTAGATACTCGGAATTCCGGCTGGAATATGGACAATCGGTATATAATTCGTTTTCCATTAAATGGTTTCTGTAAATTGAACTCAGTGCAAGTTATTTTGAGATTATTAAATTATAATTTTAAAATCATCGCATCAACGGGCGGGGGAGTTGAGGGACAACAGTTTAGTGAATACTTGTTTTGTAGAAACTGTAAAGCTATTTGTTGAAAGTGAATTTTAAACTATTTCTTCTCAGATTCTGTGACATTATCTGTGTTCTGTGATATTTTTATTGTTTCTTTTACAATTACTCATGTTGTGACATTATTATGTAATGAAAAATACTTTCATATTGTTTTCTTGTAAACAGTTATTTTGGAACTTTAAGTGTAAATATAACAACAGCATTTCTGAACTGTATATATCTGTTGGCCCAGAAAGACGATAACACTTTTCAATTCAGGATTTTTCATAATATTTTGAGGGATATTAGACATCTTTACATCAAACTACAGTTTTATAGGTCGAAAAATTTGGAATTCCAACTTTTTCAAAATTCCTTGTAAAAAATATAATGCCGAATATAATTGAATTGAATTAATGCTCAATATAGCCAAACTTTTCAGCAACAATCGCCCTAATTCATTTTTCCATGACAACATATTGCCTGTCCGGTTTGTTCATGTAGTATTTTGTTCCATTTCTCTCTAATTCTGCCCTTCAGTTCCTGAAGTCCATCTCCATTGTATCTCATTTTGTTCGCTAGAGAAAACACACTGGAAACCATTTAACTGTTATCAAGAGTTTGGGACTTAAGACAATATTGAGGTGCCAAAAACGTATCAAAATCTAAATCAAAGACACTGTTAATGAATTAATTCTGAACTGAAGAAGGTTTTGCTGGGGCTTAATAATCACTAACGACGGGACTAAACTTTCTTTCGGCAATAATTTTTGGACAAAGAATTTTAAAAAGTCTGTTATTTCAAAATGGTTCAATATATAATGCTGTAATTGAAAAGATGTCTAATTGTCGCGTAAATATGAGGTCTAAATATTACGATCATAGTCTTAATAATAATTGAAAATCCTTCATTGAAAAGTGTCACCCGATATAGTTATATATATGCATCCTCAGATAAATTTTAATGTGGTTCTGTTTCAAAAAAACGAAAGGAAAATAGTCAACATGGTTAAAATGTGATCTCTGAATTAATGTCTGTGTATTACGTATGATCTTAAGAAATCCAGTTGCTTAATAAAATGTTAAAATGTTACAGGAGATCCACTTTCAATATTAATATAATTCCCCATACCATCTTCACAATGTCAAGCCATTTTGAATTTATTACTTACATCTTGACAGCAATAGCCATTTTTCTTGTATCCCGGAATGCAGCGATTTGATTGGATTATACGCCAAAGAATACAGCCAATCAGATCCCTCGGCAGAAAGGCTATAAACATTATGGCTTTGTGTTCACAGACTTTCTGTCGAGGCCGGACTTCGTGACATGGTGAAGATGAAACTTTACTAAGGTTGAAAGGTGTGAGCATTATTATCAACGATTGGAGACATTTTCCTGCCTTCCAAAATTGTGCGCATTACATTCGCCAGTATACTGTATATCAATTGCATACGGATTCCAAGCCTTTATCGTATTCACAAGCCAAATAACATCCTTTGAATTCAGCCAACATAGCAACCGCAAGATTTGTCCCAAGTTCGGAAAAGCTTGAAATTGTGAAGATAGTGTCCCCGATACACACAAATTTTATTTTTTAGAAAACCTATTCAGGTAGTCCTAAACATCTGCCTCTATCATAGAATCCATGTTTGTCTTCGTAGTTTCGACGAAGTATGGCCTGGACCGGTTGCTTCAAATCTGAGTGGTTGTGAATCAACATCGTTTTGGTGACGGCAAAAATTAAATAAAATAATTCAGTAATTATGACAATTTCTTCAAATTTTTAATCGTTGATGGAAAAATCAATAAATAAAACATCCGCGAATAAAAATGTCAAATACACGTTTATAAATGATAGCTATTTTGACGTGTAGAGACAGAAAAAAGACCCTGTTAAAAGGGGACTTTCCGCTTCTCCGCAGATAATCTTGTAGATAATCCAGATCTGCAAAAACCAGATATATTTGTAGTTTAGTCATATCACCATTTTTCCCTAAACCATTTATAATGCCACGTCTCCGGTTCCATCAAAGTTTCTTTTTTAACGAGACTGATCTTGCACCAGTAAATGAAATTTTGTGTAGCTAAAAGTTAAAATTTCACCGAGTCACCTGATAATAAAAAAATGAAAGTGATGCACAACACTAATTTACAGTCATCGTTAAGGTTAAGACAACTGTCAAAATATCCATCAGAGGCTGGAATAGAGGCAGATGTTTCGGACTATTAGATGGTATTTGTACCAAAGATTACGAACCCAAAGAAACGGTATTGTTCTTTGTATATCAACGTCTTTTTGTACGGGCTGAGAACATAACCTGTGGGTGAAATTGTCTGTATAAAAACTTCACCTAATAAAGTCATTTCCCTTGGAGTTTTATCTCTCCCATAGATTCTGAATCGACTTATGTCGAGATAATACCTTCGGTTTTGTTTAAAATTAGGTTTTTTTCTTTAACCCGGTTTCCCCGTCAGTGATGCGGGTAAGAGGGGTCGACGAATATAAAGTGTCTCAGATTTTAATGTGATTAGTCAAGGGCAATAACTCTATAGGGTTCATTTAATCCTAAACATCGAAATTTGCCAAATATCTCGCCTATTCCGAACTGATTTGGTAAGAAATACCAAACATCGAATCGTGCAAAACATAACATTTCGTTAACAAGCCGATGGTGACATATGTTGACTCGGTCAAGGGAGATGACTCTGAAAATGTTGTCAACATTGTCCCAGATTTCATGCTTATGGTCAGGTAAAAATCTAACTAATATGTTCAAATGATTTATATGAATTATTTACAAATGATTAACATATATATATATAAAATATAATGAACTGAATTACTTCTTCAGGATATAAACATGTGTTCAACACTAAATTTTTTTCCATTTTTTAATGTTCATGATTTAAAATGTCTTTGATGAAATATGAAATATGATTCAACTGGTACCATTTTTTTCTATCTTGGTGGACCTCTCATTCCAGGAGGGGGACCTACAAAAAATAAAAAATAGATTTACACTACTTTATTTTCCACTTCAATGAAAATTAATTCTAAATTATTAGCACCAACAGCAAGACAGAATTTTTTGGCTCTTTATTTCGATCTGATTTACAAATAAAATTTTAACTTAAAAAATTCATTTAAAGCATACATGGAGTAAAACTATTAGACCTATCTATCAGTAAACTAAAGAAAAGAAATCAAATCTTGCACTCTGTGAGGAAAGAATTCTCCAAATCATTTTATTTCAGCAATTAAAACTTCCTATTATAATGGTATAACTAACAAAAACACCTGCTAAACCTCCAGGACACAACGTTAATGCATTTTCCTAGCCTGAAGATCATGTGGGTTTTATAGCAGAGTCAAATAGAAAGAAGTATATTATTACTGGGTAAAAATTGACCAGAGGCAGAGAAAAATGTCAAAATCAATATAGTCTTGATGGAAGTGTAATCAGTATTGCCTAAAGCAGATCAGCCAACACAATTATTAGCTACAGGCTTCATTTGACAATAAAAACTACAGATTAAAATATTTCAAGTTGGTTAACAGAAGAACTTTTCTTCTTTTTTCTTTAAAAGTCAGATGGTTTTAGTCTGAATTTGACTATTAAATATTTACTTCAGCACATCATGTTGTATAATATAAATTATTATATCAAAATATGGAATATCAGCACCCAGTGCTCATTGAAAAATATAAAACATTTGTCTGTTTAATTGCCTTCTAACACATGCATATTTTGCAATTAGTGACGTCATTGAACACTCATTATTTTTTTTTTTTTAATCAAAGATGTCCAATCTAAAATTGGAATGGTGCAAATAGATGTTATCAATATCACAATATTACAATATCAGGACATAAAAAAACCTCTTTACAATTCCTTTAATCTTCATTAAAGAAACATATACCTACATACAAAGTTTTATGAAAATCAGGAGCTATCGCATTTTCACATTTTAAAAGGACAAGTGCCATTTTTAGGGGGTTGATTTCAGTGCTGAACATGTGTAAATAGTCTTCAGAAATACAAGAAAATCGTATAATGGGATTTTTACTGGGGTTACTCACTACCGTTGTAGGGAGGTTAATACTTCAGAGTGCCTGGGTTAAGAGAAGCTGGGAGAAATAAGAGTAAAGGTAGCTTTGATGTTGGATACCTGATTGTGACGTAAAGGTGTACTGACATGCGCAGAGCAGTGAGGGTACCGTCCAGCACTGAACAGTGAAAGGAGATCAACAATGGGCAAAAATCCACCCTGGTAATCTTGCACTGGGGTCCCTGAACAGTATAAATAGAACCCCGTAAGATGAGTCTAATCAGTCTGAAGAGTTCAAACATGAACGAAACTAAGTCACTGATAATCAGGGATAACTGGTCGCATAGCCAATCTTTATCTCTTATATTCTACCCCTTCCCATGACCAAGTTATGGCGAATTTTCGTGACCCCAGCGGGCAGTCGTGATTCCCCTTTTAAACTCAGAATCTATAACCACCCTGATGGAAGATAATCCACCAGTTAAAAGACAATCTTATAAATACCTAAATTCATGAAAATATTCCGAAAGACCTTCTTAAGCAATTGCCAGGCAAGACAACATAAACCAACTGGCAGCTTTCTTTGAATTTGAATATTTGGCAGAATTTGCTTAATTAGATGCAAAAGAGTAGGATACAAAAGTCCATTTCATTTCATGGCATCAGAAATATTGTCTTTCTTCAAGGAGATTAATATCCTGGATAGGGCCTATCTATTGTGAATTGTTCAAAAGGACAGTTTGGATCAAACTCGAATGGCATTCAACTCCCATTTTCATACTATTGTAACCAAGAGATTATGTCAGGGTCAGTAAAAGATTGACACTAAGGCAAAAACACAAAATATATGAATACTAACCTCTCATCATTCCTGGAGGGGGGCCTCTCATACCACCGCCCTGAGGACCACCTCTTCCCATATTGGGTGGTCTCATCCCTGGATTCATACCAGGAGGACCTCCTCGACCTACAAGTATAAATTTAACACCTCAATGACCTTATCACTGATCAATAATTTTTGTTGTACAAACTGGAAAAGCATGACTTTTCATCTAAGTAATTTAATATTTACAAGAAAACCTGAATACAATTATAAATTTACCTTGAGGAGCCATCATTTGTTGAGAGGGACCACCAACGCCTCGAACGGGACCTTGTAGACCAGGTGCAGCACCTTGAGAGGGACCACCAACACCTCTTCCTGCTGCTCTACCCATACCAGGTCCTCCAGGACCCATACCAGCTAATGGAACACGGGCCATACTTTCCTGTAAATATACATAAGGTTTAGATTGCAAGTTTTAAACTTGGTTTTTGGAGAATATTTAGAAAACAATTATCTATTCATCAATAGATATGTCTACTAAAAGTAAATATAGCTTGCCAGGCAAGGTAACATACGCCCACAGATAGCTTTGATTGTAAGTATTATGAAATTCGATATATTTACCATCTTCATAATGACAAAATCAAAAGAATCTAAGAATGTAAAGAATTGTAGCTTGTAGAGTGAGCACGAGTTGCACAATATAGCTAATAGAGTAAAATTTCAAGTCAGACAAGATATTTTGGTGAAAAAGTATCCGATCATCACAAAAATCGATAGGGATCATCTTCATAATGACATTGACACACAAAATCAAAAGAATCTAAGAATGTAAAGAATTGTAGCTTGTAGAGTGAGCACGAGTTGCACAATATAGCTAATAGAGAAAAACGTCAAGTCAGACACGATATTTCAGTGAAAAATTATCCGATCATCACGAAAATCAATAGGGATCATCTTCATAATGACACTGACACACAAAATAAAAATCAAAAGAATCTGTAAAAAATTGTAGCCTGTAGATCGAGCACGAGTTGCACAATATAGCTAATAGAGTAAAACGTCAAGTCAGACACGATATTTCGGTGAAAAATTATCCGATCATCACGAAAATCAATAGGGATCATCTTCATAACAACATTGACATACAAAATAAAAATCAAAAGAATCCATAAAGAACTGTAGCCTGTAGAGTGAGCACGAGCCAAATGTGAACGGACGGACCGACGGGGTGATTACAATATACGCCCATCTTACGTCTGGGCGTATAAAAACGAACGCGAAATTAGAGTTTTATGCGATATCACCAAATTCAATAGTGCAGATCTTCATAATGATATTGACACACATACAAAAGATCAAAAGAATCTATCGAGAATTGTAGCCTATAGAGTGAGCACAAGGTAAATGTGAACGGACGGACGGACCAACAGGGGCAACCACAATATACGCCCATACTTACGTGTGGGCGTAAAAAAAGCATCCAATTTGCACCCAACTTAGTAAAGGAATAAGTGACCAACAATAATTAGTTAGAATTTTTGTAATTAAAAAGTATTTTTACTGATACAACTAAAACTCTATATATTTGAGCAAAATATATTTGTATTAATTCGGGTTTGATAAAAAAAAATAAATAAAAGCAGTTAAAATTGAATTTAGTTTGATAATGTGTTATTACTACATAAACATTGCAATTATTATAAAGTAGACAATTACCAGTAATGTATTTTTTTTCATAAGACTCAGATGTGCATTAATATTTTAGACTATACAGTACCCAAATACTTACTTCTGTTGGTGGTGGACCCTCTACAGTCATTGACACTAAATGTTCTCCTCTTAATAACACTAATCCTAAAACCCGTTTTTCTTCTCTTTCACCTTGTTTATTACTTTTAGGCTTAATCTTTCGGAACTCATCACAATCACCAAGAATAATGTTCATATGTTTGTCAAATGCTTTAAAAGTTCCAATAAAAGTTCTACTATCATGAAGCATACATCTCATTCTGAAGTTGATATGCTGTAGCATCTTTGAACTCCTCCCAACCGTCTGCAATATAAGAAAATATCTATTAAAGAAACAGATGCGCCATTTTGGGGAGTTGATTTGAGTCTTGAATATATGTAAATAGTCTTCAGAAGCACTACAAATATCCGAAAATCACAAAATTCCTTCAAAATATCTAAAACTTGTAATTTCTTTTCCTATTTCTAAAGATGTCTTTTCTATATATGGCATGATAACCAGTTTTTCAAAATGTTTACTGTGCATCGGGTCTACAAAGTCAAAAGTTCCGGCAAAAATAGCCTACTCTCTGACTACACTGCTTTCTGAATTGAATTTTGGCAATCATTTTCATGTGAACTGAAATTTCAATTACAAAATACTAGCAAGAGTTTTCGATTGACTTTGGGTTGATGAAAATGTCAACCACTGGAAAAGTTATTTTTTCTTAACATGGTTTTACAGAGGAGAATTTTCAGTCCTAAAAGTAAGTCATTTCCACATGAACTTTCTGGGTATGTTAAACAAAGTGGATATTTAGCCGTGAACCGGTTTAGTTTTTTTTTTCGCTATTTTACCGACACTTCCCTTTACCCATGCGCAACAGGAAAATACAAAACAAACAATCTAGTGTCAAATATGCGATTTATTGTCTTATTTAGGGTTAGGTATGGATGATCATATGTTGAAATATGTTGAACAAGGTCCAGCTGCCTTCAGGGTCTTCTTTGGGGTTAGTTTTAGGTTTTGTTTTATGGTCTCATTTGGCGCTTTATGGCCTCATCAACGGATAATATTACCACATCTTTTCGTATTTCTCCACTGCGCATGGGTAAACAGAAGTGCTGGTAAAATAACGAAAAAGAAACTAAACCGGTTCACGGCTAAATATCCACTGCGTATTTTAAATGTAAATTCACAGAACCATATATTTCTATGGAGCTGAAGGCATTCTAAGACAAATGGTATACAGTTGAAAATTTATGTGATGAGAGAAAATATTCAATTCAAAGCCCAACTTAGTCAGACAGTAGCAAAAAAGAAACTTGACCCGCTTCATGGCTAAATAACCAATGCAAGATAGCTTGCCAGGCAAAGTAACATACGCCCACTGGCAGCTGGCAGAAATGATAAAAAAGTCATTAGGGATTCAAATATGAATTTTTTTCATATTAAATAAATCTTAATGGTTTGAATTCAATAATACATATATTTACTGCCAGTTATCTATGCTGAGAAATTCCACCAAATTTTTAAAAATCAATATCAATAACCCAAATATATCAAATCAATATACATGATCACATCATGTTTCATTCAAATCAATTGAAAACTGTAGTCTCTATTGTGTTCACAAACAAATTTTGACGCGTTTTTCCTAAGTCAAGGGCAATAACTCAAAAACCGTTCATTGAAAGATCGTCAAATTGGAACTTAACCAAGATCTCATCAATATAAATGATCACACCAAATTTCAGTAAGATAGCTTGCAATGCATGGTAACATACGCCCACTGGCAGCTGTCAGAAATGATAAAACATTCATTAGTGATTAAAGTATGAATTTTCTCATATTAAAGAAATTTTAATAGTTTGAATTCAATGATATATATATTTACTGCCAGTTATTTATGCTGTGAAATACTACCAAATTTTAAAATTTCAATATCAATAATCCAAATACATCAATTTAATTTCATCAGTATACATGATCACACCATGTTTCATTAAAATCAATTGAAAACTGTAATGTGTTCACCAACTAATTTTTCATGCGTTTTTCCTAAGTCAAGGGCAATAACTCAAAAATTTTTCATCAAGTTCGAACTTGACCAAGATCTCATCAATATAAATGATCACACAAAATTTCATTAAAATCAGTTGAAAACTGTAGTCTCTATTGTGTTCACAAACAAATTTTGACGAGTTTTTCCTAAGTCAAGGGCAATGACTCAAAAACCGTTCATCAAAAGAAGGTCAAATTCGAACTTGACCAAGATTTCATCAATATAAATGATCACACCAAATTTCATAAAAATCAGTGGAAAACTATAGTCTCTATTATGTTCACAAGAAATGTTGACGGACCGAGGACATATACGTCATGTGAGCGTATAAAAAATAATGTGTGAAATGTTATTCTGTAAACAGTGTGGTTGGAGAGAAGAAAGGGTGGGTGTTTTTTTGGTATTCATTAGAAAGGAATCTAGCAACTCTGGCTTAGTTTTAGACTAGACTCTAGTCTAGAGTTGTTGAGACTTTTACTTTTATTCTTCAGACTGCACTTCCGCTTTTTTACTTTAGCATATTACAATTTGGCACACATTAATAGTGCAGTTTAATTCAAATTTTCATCGTTTGTGAACAATTGTGGTTCATTTGTTGAAGATCATATATCCTTAGCATCTATATTCCCTTTAAGGATGCACTCAATATTATTTATGAACAAAACATTGGCATTGACATGATAAAAACAAAGAAAGCGGGATGATTAGAATGGAACCAATGGAGACATCTAATGGCATAAAATATTGGTTGTATGATTACAACAAATCTTAACAATCTAATTAACAAGTATTTACCATTTTTGAAATCAAGATGGGTTCGATCTACGGTGGATTTTTGTCTAAAACGTTAGGCGTCCGTCGTTCTCTGTACGCTACCAATTAGGGGGTACACCACAGTCGCCATCTAGCCGGTAAGGGTACATAACTCAAACGAGTAGTTTTTGTTTCAGACCACAGTGAAACAATGATGTGAATTCAGTCCATATCATAGTTACAAATATTATGTTATTATTATATAACTATTTGGTCCATATCCAGGAACTGAAATCGTAATTAACAATCCGAGAAATCCAAAAAAATTCCAATACAAAAGGATGTGAAACCATAGTCAAAGCATGGAATACTATAGAGGTTTTAATACATTCACATCTTCCTACTTGGAAACCCAAAAATAGGGCTATAGCAGCACGATATTTCTTTAGATCGCTGGAAACTGCGTTTGCCGACTTTTTATTTTTCTTCGGGCTTCCGACCATGCGCCTTGCGAGCAATGACATAGATCAAAGAGGCCTATCTATTCTAAAGTACGTAAAACTAACAATTCATCACTATATATTATGATATTAATATAACATATTAACATATATTATGATGATACTTTATAAAGTTCTTGTTCTAAGATCACTGGAAATAGCGTTGAGGGCTTCTAGCCCTATTAATAAAGTAAAATCTCTGGGCAGTCGGAACCTGTAGCGAGCTATGACATGGATCAAATATTTGCATATATCTTTTTTTGCAAGTTTAAAACAAGGATTCATTATAAATAAAATTTTCAATGTTTCATCTACAAATGTCTTGTGGTAGAGTGCGTTTGTTTCCCGCAAACCCAATATTATATCAATATGGACATGATGTCACGTGGGTGTTTAATAAATCCTTATTTTGAGATTAAGAAATTAATTTAATCATCACGTGTAAGCTTTCTTTCGTTCAATCATACCTGAATACCATATCGTTCAGTTATACATCAATGTCATCTTTCGTTCAGTCATACCTGAATATACATTGGTGTAACCTATTTTCGTGCATATAAGGATTCAAGACCGAATTTCGACAAAGTTAAAAAAACGGGAATTTTTTTTATGTCGTAGATGTTTCCTCAGATATTCTACAAAATAATTAAATTTGGTTTGTTTCAATTTTCTTTATGAATCTCTCACTTTGACCCATATTTCATGAGTAACGAACTCGACAACGGTGGCAAAATGCGTCATGCACCTATTTTCGTGTACAATGTTTAATCTATAAATAAGTCGAGAAAAACACGTTGTATGTATACCTAGTGGTATAATTAATTTCTCTTAATATTTATCTTTAATACCAATTCATTATAACTAATGACAATTCCTTCAAAGAACCACGATTTAAAAAAAAAATAGTGACTGACAAAATAAGATACGTAGCGTGATTTATTGCTAAAAGTCATTGAAACAACATAAGAATATGGCCCACATTGTGTTCCATAGAATTTTTCTGCTGACAAGGAATCCGCTAGTTGATCACGTGACTTCATTCGTTGGACTACATTCTAGCAGTCGACACTTGGAATTCGATTACAGCTTGGGATTATAAGAAAATTCGACCGATAAAAAAGTGTGACGTTTGGTAATAAGTGAAATCCGCCATTTTGTATTTGTCAAAGTATACATTTATAGATTTTACCGTGCTTGAAACTACTGGATTCATTCTACTAGCTGACATTGTACAGAAAACCCATGTTTATCAAAACAAGCAAATGCGGGGGTCACGCGAGGTCGCACATGTAAGTTATTAATCCTTTCCGGAAATGCACGAAAAATAGGTTAGCACGAAATTAGGTATTCATACGGAATGCATCAAACGTTAGCCCTACGAAGTTTGCGTTTATAAATAAGCGAATCTGGCTTTCGGAATAGTATTATTCATAATGCCTCGTTAATTGGTGTTTAATAAATCGTTAATTGAGACTATGCGGTTCATTTAATGATCACGTGTAAGCGCTATCTTTCGTTAAGTAATACTTGAATTCAATTTTTCGTTCATGCAGTCGTAGCTAGGCCTACTCGAATTCCATCATGGCTACGGCACGGTAATCTATGTTTAAACAGTCAAGTAACCTAATTTCGTGCTAACCTATTTTTCGTGCATTTCCGGAAAGGATTAATAATTTACATGTGCGACCTCGAGTGACCTCCGCATTTGTTCGTTTTGATAAACATGGGTTTTCTGTACAATGTCAGCTAGTAGAAATACAAAATGGCGGATTTCACTTATTACCAAACGTCACACTTTTTTATCGGTCGAATTTTCTTATAATCCCAAGCTGTAATCGAATTCCAAGTGTCGTCTGCTAGAATGTAGTCCAACGAATGAAGTCACGTGATCAACTAACGGATTCCTTGTCAGCAGAAAATTTCTATGGAACACAAAGTGGGCCATATTCTTATGTTGTTTCAGTGACTTTTAGCAATAAATCACGCTACGTATCTTATTTTGTCAGTCACTATTTTTTTTAAATCGTGGTTCTTTAAAGGAATTGTCGCTAGTTATAATGAATTGATATTAAAGATAAATACTAAGAGAAGTTAATTATACCACCCGGTATCCATACAACGTGTTTTTCTCGACTTATTTATAGATCAAACATTATACACGAAAATAGGTGACGCATTCTGCTGCCATTGCCGAGTTGGTTGCTCATGAAATATGGGTCAAAGTGAAGGATTCATAAAGAAAATCGAAACAAACCAATTTCAATTATTTTGTAGAAAGCAGAAAGATGTTGAGGAAACATTTAAGACATAAAAAAAATTCGTTTTTTTAACTTTGACGAAATTTGGTGTTGAATCCTTATATCCACGAAAATAGGCTAAACCACTGTATATTAGCGAATCCTAATTCTAAGGAATGATATTGTTCCTATCATGCTATGATAGTGAAATGAAATGAAAAATTATAAAAAATCGGGGTTATCACATATTGCATACGTGACACTTGACAGAGGTTTCATAACACAATAGGAAGGGATATAACTCTAGTTAAGGAATGGCATGTTTAAACTATCCGGATTTTCGTTTAACCGCATGATTTTATCGGGAACGGGAATGCGCAGATGAACGAGGCTCCACTGTAGCCTATTCGTCTAAAAGAATATTTTTTGGCAAGCTTATAGGCCAACCTCGCACAGATCACGTGGGGGACAAGATATCCTGTGTTCCCCCGCACCTTTGGTCCGACCCCCTTGAATAAATCCTGCGTACGCCACTGCACGTTCTGCCTCTATTCTAGCCTCTGATAGGCCACTGATAGCTAGCTATTTTTAGTCATTGACTGGTGTAGAGACAGTAGGCATTAAATTAGGTTCCAGTTATGTTGTTTTTCCTCATCTCCGAAGGTACGTGAGGGTTTTTTTCAAACCCTTTTAAAGACAGAAAGATAGATATTTTTGTTGTTCAGTCATACCATCATAACCCCCCTACACCATTTATGCTGGTCGGTTGTATATGTGATCGATTATTTCGATAGCTGGCTGCATCATTCTGAAGGCCACTTCAACCACTAATATCTCTCCACATGACAGTTCCCATAGAAACAATAAACATACTTTAAACTGTCATGCGCATCGAGCACCTGCTGGCACTACCAATTTATACTCGATTAACCAGTGATTTCGAAAAATATTCATCATAAGTTTTACCAAGATGACGACTGAAATTGGATCCCAGGCTGAGGGCCTTAGGCAGAGATGGACACCTGAAACTGATCCAGAATGGAATCCAAATTTGCCCTACGGTGGCAAAGTCTATTTAGCTCGTAAAAAGAAATCAGACCCATTCCATATTCGAATCATTGAGGTGAGATTTTTACTAATTTTATAGCATTGCACTGTAACGTGTAAGTGTGTCTACCCTAATGTTGGATATGCCGAAAGCTGGAAGTATCATCTATGGCTTGACTAAAACCCAAAATAGGGTCAATGTGATGTAATTAAAATATCAGCTATTAAGATAAGATAAGATAAGATTTATTGCATATATGCCCATTGTGAGCAGCATATAAAGATAGTGGACCACAGCCATATATGCCCACCACGGCATGCGGATTGTAAAAACGAAACATCCATTTTAAGTTTCATCAAAATCGGTTGAAATCTAAGAGAGTAATAGCATATTCAATTTTTTTGGGGCAAGGGCAATAACTCTGCTTCTAATGGTCGAAAATAGCTCAAATTCAAACTTGATATTCGTTTTATGAATATGTATACACATAACATAATTTCATTTGATTCCATAAAAAAATCTAGTTTTTAGAGCGTTTACAAGCAAATGTTGACGGACAGACCGACGGAGTGTTTAGGAGCAATTGATGTTGATAGAAGCACTTACTGTATAGAGGCTAAAGGGCGATAACTCCTCAAAACTGATGTAAGAGGCCTTAATCTTGAAAAAGCCTTAAATTTAATCAGAAGTAAATTGAACTTTCTCAAACCTTTTGATTTAGGTCCATTACATCCATTTTAAGTTTCATCAAAATCGGTTAAAAACTAAGAGATTAATAGCATATTCAAAATTTTGGAGCAAGGGCAATACCTCTGCTTCTAACGATCGAAAATAGCTCAAATTCGAACTTGATCTTCGTGTCATGAATATGTATACACATACCGAATTTCATTTGATTCCATCAAAATATCTTTTTGGAGCGTTTACAAGCAAATGTTGACGGACGGACAGGGGTGCCGACAATATACGTCCACATAGAGAGATGTGGGCGTATAAAAACAGTACATTAAGGTGTATTTTATACTTCAGAATTTGCATCGGCCTACCAGTAGGCCTACTATATATTTTATATAGTATAAAGACAACAACTTTGTACCTGATGTCCATTCTGAAGGTGTTTTAATTGTATCAGATGTTGAAGTGTGACATTATTCCTTCAACACAATAGGCCTTATGTCGAAACTGTGAAAACATATGCCGTGTAAAGAGCAGATCTTGTTCATTAAGAAAGGTTTTTGATTAATCCAACCAATGTAAACCTTAATTAATTAGTTATGATACTTAATGCTACTCTAGTCATTAATTGCTAATGAAACCAACATATGCCATGCAAATATCACCACTATTTACAAAAATTGTCAGAAGTGAAAATTGAAGTAATGAAGTTTGATTATTTTAGATCATTAGATATTTATATAGGATCTACATGAAATCTGCCATGCATTTTAGCCATACTATCAGGTTAGGTAGGCCTATACTGTTATCTGTTATCCAGATAGACCTTTAATTATTTATGCTTTCAGGTTGTTGTTGTAATTGCTACATTATCGTTTGCTTATTATGCCTACTTTTATTTTGATCACCTACATTTCAACATAACCCATGCCTATGCTCACTTAGGTTATCCTCAGGCACAACATCAAGTTGGACAGAGATATTTACATGGTAAGATGATTTCTCTTAACTTGTATTCTAATACTGTTCTTTCTAGAAAGTAACATGACCTCTGGCAACATCTTAAATGTCCATAATGTGTTGTTCAAATTTCTATGATTTTTTTCATCAAAAGTTTGAATCAATTTACGATTAAAGGTGCAAACAATCTTAGAATTTAGAAACAATATTTCTATCACAAGTCTCCTATCATGATCAAATTACTATTTGTTAAAACCATTTTGTTTATTTTCTACAGGTAAAGGTGTTGACAAACATGGTGGAAAAGCTATGGAATGGTTCAGGTAATTACAAATTTATTTATAGGGTTTGTTGAATAAAGGGATAGGTTCATCATTATCGTGGTGTTGATAGTCTTCAGAATTAATGGAAATGTATATTCCTTCCAAAATACCTCTGACTAGGAATTAGTACATTTGGTCAAACGTATGGCGAGCCTGTCCGTCGAGAGGTCATTTATAGAAAATTGTGAGTGTTGAAACCTCTAAACTGATCAGTTTGAATTGACAATCTTGAATTAATAGCAGTGGACTCAACTGTAAATTGTTACAAATTATCTCAAAATATTGGTTCTGTGTAATTAGTCAGACTGGACTAATTAGTCAGACTGGACAAAACTTTTTTTGAATATATTATCTACAAACCCAGACTATTTATATAATTGTAGGAAAGCAGCCGACCAAGGCCATCCCCACGCTGCTTATAATTTAGCTATAGGACATTTACGAGGTTATAGAACTGATGTTAAAGATGGGTAAGAAAAATAACATATTGCAATTGTTATTCTCTATTTATGTACCAAAAACATAAAATAGACTGGATCGAAAGTCACATATAATCCTATTTTGATCTTTTGTTTTCAATAACATTTCTCCTGTTAGAGGCACTGGTTCATCATGTCATTGATGCAGTGGACAACATTCAATTGTTCGCATGGAGGGAGAAATAAGATTGTGGATGCTCAAGATTTCTGTGGAATACAGATGGAAAATTAATGGGAGATCTGCTAATCCAGCCGAATGTCCTTTATTTCACACCTAACTTATGTCAATTTTCATTTCACATTGTGAGTTGGATGATTGAAGTATGTGTTTCATGACTTGATCAAGTTACGATTTTTCAATAGCTTTCCCCAGTTATGGAGGGGAAAAAGTATCTAATCCTGCTGCTCAATTCAAAAGATTATATTTTGTATTTTTCAGTGAGGCACATAAACTGATAGCTCATGCAGCATCTAAAGGAGTGGAAGAGGCTCATAAAGTATTAAATAATGTTTGTACCAGAGGAGGGTGTGATTAACTAATCAAGTTATATTTTTAGTAACTTAAAAGGATCATGGTTACTTAATAAGTTTTATAACATAAATGAAAAATAAAGTTTGACGATGACATTGAAATAATATGTTTAATTGAATTGTTAAAATTATGCACAATCATGATATTATAATTATTGATATATTTTATTATCAGTTGATGTTTGCCATTATATTTAATGTGACGTATTTATCTTTTCTAAATTTCATTATTTTTCATTATATATAGTCAATATTCTAGGTCATACCTTAGGAAAATGACAAATTTTGAAATAGATCTTGATTTTGCACACCATTTTTTATTTATTAGAAAATATACACTTTCGATTTTATCTCAAGGATTATTGATTATGATGTATTTCCTGGTTTTCACTCAAGGAATCTTTGATCACAGCAAAAGATGATTGTACATATTCAATTTAGTATATTTATTTAGTTACTAATAAAGTTAAAATTGTAAAACATGACATAATGTACTTCTAACACATTCCAAGATTTTAAATGTAACAATTCCGTCCATGTATTATTTATGAATAAATAATGTTTACAAATTTATAAAGTTATAATTTATTTTTGTTATGTTATTATGTATATTCTATTTGATACTGCTGATATATATTAAAGATTATCACAAAAAATGAATTTATAATATATTCCATTCACAAATTTATAATCTAGTTTTATGTATATTTTATTTCATACTGCTGTCATTTATCATAAAAAAATGAATTGATAATGTATTCCATAAATCTTGTTATGTTACTTATTATGTATATTTTATTCCATATTGCTGTTAGTAATTAAAGATTATCTAAAAGAAATCGTTCTGTTGCATTTGGGGTTGCTGACTCTGACTAAACCGCTTCTTGTTTTTATTTGAGGTTAGAGGTTAGGAAAGGGTTAAAATTATACTGACAGTGAAGTAAATAATAAACGGTTCCAACAGTCGATATGTCCACACTGTTTGAGATTCTCAGATATTGAATTTCATCATACACATTTCAATACGACTGAGGTCCTGTTCCTGTAACCTATTTTAAATTGAGAGATCATTATTATAGGCTATTGAATTTTATAAATAGTATTAATCATAAATAGTAGGCTAGTAATATTACAAATAGTATAAAAATTATAAATAGTATCTAAAAATAGTATTAATATGATAAATAGTATTAATATTATAAAAAATAGTATTAACATTATAAATAGTATTAATATGATAAATAGTATTAATATGATAAATAGTATTAATATGATAAATAGTATAAAAATTATAAATAGTATCTAAAAATAGAACTAAAATTATACGTAGTATTAATATTATAGTATAAAAATTATAAAAAGTATTTTAAATTAATATTCACATTATAAATAGTATTACTATTATATATTGTATTACTATTATAAATTGTATTATTATAAATTGTATTACTATTATAAATGGTATTAATATTACAAATAATATTAAATTATATCTAAAAAAAAAGTATTGAAATTATAAATAGTATTAATATTATAAAAAAATTGTATTAATAGTACAAATAGTATTATTATTATAAATAGTATTAATAAACTTAAACGGCTTAGGCAACACCAGACAATCAAGGAAATGGCCTTTTTGAAGTGAAAATAAATCAAAAATTTCTAGAAAAGCCTAACCCATGAATCTAAGCCAAATTGATCTTTAGGCATATCCACCTTGTAGCACAATTTATGCGAGTGTGAGTGCAATGAACTAGGTTAATATTACTGTACATATTTTCACATAATTATTATGAAATATCAGTCTTCATTATTACTACACATAACTATATCCCCAATCGACATGTATATTTTATTTGTAGTCTGAGGTAATTGGAGGTAAAAACAGTTATCTCTCAAGCAGGTGCTTCCGTTTCCTGTTTACCTGACTACGCATGTAAACAAAAACAAAATGATTTCTGATCAATGTCAGTGAGTGAGCCAGTAAAAATGGAATAAATTATGTACACTAACGTAGGTTATATTTCTCCTAGTAATAGTAATCAGGAAATGGAAGAGACAGACGATTTCTCGTTTGATCAAGACGGAATACCAACAGTCGATGATTTATCGTCAACAAGCGATACAACACCCACAAATAGGCCGAGTCCTCTTGCTCACCGGCACAACCATCATCAACAGACACATCGAAGAGGGCCGAGTCGAGATTTCGCACCTGAAATACAACATGTGAACAACTTTTCAAATGATGCAGATTTGGCAGACATATTTGATATATTAGGTGAAGGATATGATTGTAATCTTTTATTTTCCCAGGGAGTATTAACATGGAAACCCATGAATCCTATGGGTCATAGAAGACCTAGATCAACTAAAGGACTGAAGTCTTTATTTAAAAGTAACAACAACAAAGTTGCTTTGAAGAAAAATTTTCTAAAATTTCGTGAAATTCTTGGAGTTAAATTACGGCGTCGAAAACAATCCGGACAGAAAGACGGCGAAGGCGTTTGTCTAGGGTTTGGACTATTGACATATGACTATAAATCTGCCAATGTGATGAAAGCTAGAATGATTGACTTTGAACATCCAAGTGAAGAAATATGTAACAAATGGGTATCAAAAATTTCTGATGTGTTACAGACATTCGAAGAAAGACCCAAATCTGTGAAACTTTTCATTCAAAAATATGCTGGAGAAAAAACAGGCATGACATTATTTCGTGAAAAGATTCTTCCAATATTTCGAACTGCTGATTGTAATGTTGATATGACAGAAGTTATGCATAATGAACAAATAAAACAAGATTTAATTCATCTGAATTTATTAGACTATGATTGTATAGCATGTATGGGAGGAGACGGTACTGTCAATAAAGTAGTAAATGGATTATTAAATCAATCTAATAAAGATTATGGTGTAGAAATTAAATGTAATATTAATCCTGTGAAAGCTGCTATATCTATGGGTATAATACCAACAGGAAAGACTAATCATATAGCTAGTTCTGTCATGGGAACAGATGATCCTATAACAGGTCTGTTACATATTTTATATGGCAATCGTTACATGGTGGATGTGTGTTCTGTTTATAACAACGAAAAATTTCAGCGTTGGGCTTTCAATTCACAGTATGGTTTTGCTGGAAATGTTTTAACTTTTATTAGTCGTTATAGTTCAATTGGACTGAAGAAAGTTGAGGCATCATTTTTAAAAGCTTTAACTAAATCTAAATTAAGATCGTATGAATGTGATATTGAGTATATACCAGTGCCTGGTGCTATAGCTCCAATGACTTGTACACGTTGTACAACACATTGTAAAATATGTACAGCAACATCAACTGTACATAATGATGAAGTAGAAGAATTGGAACCCTTACACCAATCAGGTTCCACTAGTTCTCTCATCGAGCTGGCAGAAAAAAAAGAAAACTCTTGGAGAACTCTAAAAGGTGATTTTATGAATGTGGGAATTTTTACTGTGCCTGGTATTTGTGAATTCGCCCCACAAGGATTAAGTAAGTTCACTCATTTAAATGATGGTTGTATGGATATAGCTGTAGTTAAAAAGGTTGAAAGAAAAGATTTCATTAGATTTTTAAGGAGGCATGGAAACTCAAAAAATCAATTTGATTTTCCATTTGTTGAGACTTTTCGTGTCAAAGAAGTGAGATTTCGTCCTAGATTTCCAACCAGCTGGAGCTACAAAGATCATGACTTTTCTGAGATAGACTATGAAATGTCAAAAGTTTCTACTAAACAAAAGCTTGCTAATCGTTCAAAATCTATGCAAGTAATAAATGATTTAGAAAATGAAGAGATTACTTCAATTAGCTCCTCAACATGGGACGATGGAGGAAGAAAGCGAGCTGGAAGTGTTATGACATTACAAGCATTATCAATAGATTCAGATGCGGAAGATTCAGATCTACCAAATGAAAGCATTCGAGGTTCTAGCTACAATATACAACAGTCACGATCTAATCTAGTTGGACCTCAATATAGAATGACATTAACAGAAAAAGAACGACTAAAACGTAAGAAAATTCAAAGGAAGAAAGAAGAAAAAGAGAAAGGTCGTGAAGAAAGGAAAATGAAATCTGTATGGAGTATTGATAATGAAATACATAAAGATTTAGAATTAGATTTTAAAGTTCACCATGGTTTATTAATTATTGCTGGTATTGGAGTCAATCCACATACTCCATTAAAGGAGGTAAACTTTGGATGTTTACCACCATGAACACTCAGCAAGATATATGTTTTGATGGTTATAAGCTTATGCAGGGTCACATAAAATGGGCAAAACATTAAGATTAAGCATTTTGCAGCATATCACCACATTTGCTGTGTATGGTTAAGTCTATTTTAATTGATTACATTTATCTGTTTATTAAAAGTCTTATTTAGCCGCCCATGTCAACTACAGCTATTAGAAGTCAGCAGGTTTTAGACTAATAGATTGCTATACTTATTTTTGATAAAATGTGGAATGAGTATTTCTGTTGTTACTGCTGGAAATACATACTGCTGTCAGTGTTTTATCTCTTTTTCTGTTATCGATAATACTGCTGCTATTTAAACAATGTTCATGAATCTTGTTTTGTTGCTTGTTCATTGCTTGTTAACATTTATTACCTTGCTTAGTTAAATCAGAAGTTCACCCACAACTGTTTTTGAAGTGCTAATGATTGAGGCAGGAATTTTTAATTTAATAATATTAGGCACATCTTTAAAGGTTTGTAAATTTAAAGCTGATAGTTTAATATTTGAGTCAATTATCTTGTGCTATTTGAGGAGGAAAGACACATAGCTACGTTTGATAGATGTCTTAAATATTATAGACTGATAAGGCATGGGATGATACAGACCATTAGCTTCAGTTGTTTATCAGAATGTACTAAAGAAAGATTGATTTTGTCTCAAAAAGACAATGATTGATATCAGGTTTATCTATTAATAATGGTCTGTTTCAGTTATTGATTTTCATTTTTATCGATAACATCAATTTCTGGCATGAGATTTTCATTAGCTGCATTTCAAATAACATATTAAGTTGAACAAAATACATAAGTTAAATATTGAAGAACTGGTAGAACTGGTTTTGCTATTGATTCAATTTAAGTTATAAAAGTAAATATAACTTTTCTTTGTTTATTTTATTTACTTAAGATGTCCTAATATTGGTTAATCAACTATTCTCTGTCGTGGAATACATTCATAGTTTATTTCTGTCCCTGGTCTAATTTTTTGTATTGTTTTTACCCTCGTAAGTGAAATATTTCTGTCTTATTTATATACTATATATTTATTCATACTCATAATCACTTGTAGTGCTGAGACATTGAGTTCATACCTCACACATACATGATACAGTTTTTAATATAATACATGTAATGCCTTTATTTGGTGTGCAAATATTATTATCAAATGTCACATTATATAATTTATTGTTTATCTTAGGAGATTTGACATAAAAAACAGCTTTGCACAATGTTAGCACCAGATAATTCATTACTCTTCTGTTTGTCTGAATTGTTTATCATGTCTTTGTTAAGGAACTTTGTTAACTACCAAATATTACATATGCTTATACAGGTATATATATTCTCAAGATTTTTATAACTTGACATGACAGAATCAAGCTGTAACACCTTGTTTTCAGTTTATCCAAACCTCTTTAACAAATATGTTGAGTTCATTTGCATGTAATAATTGAGCCATTATGCACATGTGAATAATGGGTGTATTGAATGTTTTTAACTGTTCAGTCTTTTTCATGTTTGCTAAATTAGAGAGGTGTTTACTTTTCTGTGCTAAATATTATGTATTAGTGCTGCAATGAATCACTGATAAATCTAGACACCTTTTGATCTTTGGATTGTGTTGTATAAAAGTAAATGTATTGGATAGCTTTTGCTTTGACTTCTTATTTCCATTGGTTTGGTAATAATATTTTGAAAAAATTGACCCTGTTTTTTTAAATCTAATTGTTCAAAATATTCTCATGTGACAAATAGAGAGAAAATGTTACTTTTTTTCTTTTTCCAATAAATGAATTGGAAATTAATTTATTATCACATGATATCATTTGCCATTCAACATATCAAATGGTAACTTCAACAATCATTGCACGTGAAGTATTCATATATGGTTATTTCATAAATTTGTCAGTTGCAAAACCATTATATGTTAAAAAATTCACAGCGATCAGAAATAAAATTAATTGTGAAATGCTGATTTTGGTACTTTATATAAATGTTTTTATTCTTATTGATCACTTTTACTGATGTTTGTGTGCAATATGTGTTACAACTATAGTATTAAAAATGTTATATATTTCTTTGGTATTTGTTCTCTCTTCAACAAATTATTCGTGACATATTTCTACCAGGTTGTACCTGAGTAGGGACTGAGGTCACCTGACTTTCAAGCCAGCTTAATAACATGCTTCTACTTACGGTTTGTTTTGTAAATTTTAACACACATGAAACTAGTGAATACTATATTGTGTGAGCAACTACTCTCATATAAAAAAGATTGTTTTGATAATTGTAATTCACAACCACATATGAAGCTGTTTGGATAGAGAGGACCACGTTCACCAATGTTGTGTGATGTTTCACAATAAGGTTTAATCTGACTTTGAAGTCACAGTAAAACTGATGAAATTTACATAAGATAAGCAATATAGTTTACCGTTTTATATGACATACTAATATACCAATATAGATTTGGCGTTTCATATGACACATCAATGTAGATTTAGCGTTTTTATATGACATACTAATATACCAATATAGATTTGCCTTTTTATATGACATATCAATGTAGATTTACCGTTATATATGACATACCAGAAAAAAGAAATATTAAGAGTTGACATCTTTATTGGATAAACTATCACATTCTGGTTGATCATTTATAGTCAATGTTTCAAATTCTGATACATTGTCTTGATTAGATACACTGTTCATATTGTTTGTGTCCTTTTGATCACTTTTACATTTCATTAAAACTTTATCTAACCTTGTAATAAATAGATCTACATCACATTTTTTCATACCAATGGCAGCTGCAGCAGTTAAATAAGATGAAGGATAGTTGTTTGAATGTGATCCGAAATTCTTAAAACAATGACCTCCTATGGTATTTTCTTTGCCCGGGGCTATTACTCTGAAACATTGAATCAATTCAACTTTTCAAGATATGTAACAGATGCAGGAGCTTTATGCACATCCAGTACAGACAAACATAAATTTAATTAATAAACTTCCGAGATAAATTTTCCCAACATGACTATCATATCCCTTCCTGTGCAATCATAGGAATACTGCTTCCTGTGTTACAAGATGATACATGTGAGGTTCTGACATGGTCAAACAGATAAAAGATGAATTTTGCTGCCAGTTATGTTTATCTAAAGGATTCTATGCCTTTCTTAGGTTATCATTAACAATGGAAGAAGCAAGCACAGGGCACTAAGAAGGTGAAAGCACATGGTTAATGTTAGGGTATTAACCGTGGGTTCACATTAGTCACTAGTAATAATGTCATCCAAAATTACTATTCCAATGACCTGTGAATACGGTTCTGATATATTTCTACCCACCTTGTACCAGACACAAATCTAGTAAATAACATGGAACCTATTTCTGTAGCAGACACATGCATATTCAATTTATCTAAGGTTATACCTATAAAAAATCAAAATCACATAGTAGTTATAATGCATTCAATTATATTGTGAATATTCTAGTTTTTCCCTTCACCTTTTACTTATATCTGTAAAAATCTCCATAATAATTGGAAAGGCACCTTGATTTCTCAACTTGATGCATCACAATTTGTACATTTTATACACTTCTGATATTTGCTGCACAGATGTAGTTAATATAGGACATAATGTAAAAATAGAGGTATGACTCAAAAAATATCTGACATTGTAATAATCTATTTTCACAGAACTTCAAACACTCTTCTTGACACATACTTTTTTAGTTTCATTTAAAGATGGGTTCCCTTATTTTCATTTATGAAAATGAAAATGCTAAAACTTATATAAATAGAAAGTAAGGGTGTTCTACTGACTTGGAAAAATATCAGTTTTTCTCACATGTCTATAATTAATTCCTAATTAGCTAAATTGGAAGAAAATTACCAGCAGAATTCCAATGAAGGACCGATCAAGAAAAGTCAAAGAGTCTTTTTTTGTTATCCAGACTGTACATACATGTATATTTATCATAAATGTGTAATCTACCGATGTTGTCGGGTTTCTACCGCTTTTGCATGTTGTCTACTGCTCTACCGGCTGGATACCCGATTCTACCGATTTTTGGGCTTTTTTCCTAATCAAATTTCAAAATGATTTATGATTGGTTAAAACTCTTAATTATATGCAACAAGAACAACATATGATTAAAAATACATGATAATTCAATAGTTTGCTTCATTTGAGACTAAAAAATAAGGAAACCCATCTTTAATCCTGTACCACTTCAACCTTCTTGTAAAGACAGTTGGTATATTTTCACAATGAGTATATTTGAGGTGTATAAACAAAAGTAGGAATTATTTTCTCTTACCCATAGATATTGGATTATGTTTTGTATTGAGAAACTTTTCACCATGTTTTTCAGCTGTTGATTGTAAGCTCTCAGCTAAATATTTGTATAATTCTTTACGCTCACTGAGTAATGCTTTATAGCCAGTTGTTCCCATGGATACTAATGTTATAAATAGATCTAAAGATGGAGTAGAAGATGCTCGACCTTAAAGAAAAAGAATTATTTTGAGAAATGGGCTTTCATATGACTAATTTTCAATTCATTTTGAACTGTTGTTTAGATGGGTAAGAAAGTGAATTTCATAGTTTATGTATATATGTATACAGAACAAATAAAGTTTGTACTCTAAAGACACATTTCTCATGTGAAAGCAATTAATGCTACTATTCAATACAAATATCAGAATCTTTGAAGATGAAAAAATGAAAATCTACCTATTCATTGAAATTAAGACATTTAAATGTCTACAGAACACCTGAATTGGGGTATGTCAACATACTTTGGACGAGATCTTGCTTGTAAGAATTTTTATCATCAACATAATACAATGTTTCAATTATTTAGAAAGTCAATAAAATATGTTGACATTACCAGGATAATTTTTTCCGACTTCATCAACAAGACTGGTATCAAATCCTGCAATAATAGAACCACCTACTGGTACCATAAAGTTCTTATCAGTACTTTGTACAAACAAATCAACATGTCCCACTTGACTAGCCTGTAATAATATTATACCAACAGATATATCACTCAACATCTTAGGATACATTATGACATTATTACCTTTGTGGTTTCTGTGAATGGGATCTCTCAAAAGAACTCAAAGATAACTCACTAATTATAAAAAATATACAAATTCATAAAATATTTTATTTATAGTTACTACTATAATAATATTACAATACTACAGTCAAGTATTAATCATTAGTCAGTTGTATTAATGATAATCAAATTAATGATGTAGTGTAATAATGAATACAACATGATATATCATGTGATTATAAAATCATTCTTGCACAATCATTATACCCTAACATTGTAAATATAAACGGTCTAACCTGCTGTATAAGATGTGTACATTTTGAAGATTGTAAACCATAAGCATTGTTAATGAGATGAGGTATGTTAAAGTCTTTACAAACAACTGCTATATCTTCTAATCTACAATTATCAATAACAATATATAACATAATATAATTTATTGTAGGAACCTACGTAAACATGCCAGAAATTGTTTTCTGATGAAACAAGCTGTTGTTCATCGGTAACACTTAACAAATACAAGAGAAAATTTTCCTTGCTGGCATTCGACAAGAAGGCTGTCAGTCAGGCTTCTCCAACAAGGTGAAATTTGGACACATTTATCAAAGAAAAATTATGACGAAAATCTTGCTCATGTGAACAGGGCTTAGCAGATAGTTTGGAAATTGGGATTGAATTTTTCACATGAGTAAATTAAGCAAACACTTACTTATCAGGTATTCTTGGAGCAAAACAACTGGTAGTTGTCATAATACATACAATATTCTCAGCTCCCAACTCAGAGATTTTATATTTGATGGCACCAATGTCGGTTTGAAGTTCATCTCCATTCAAAACATTCTCTATTATAACTGGCTCTAGACCTGTGAAAGAAAATAAAGACAAAATCATTGTTACCTAACAAGATATCTTGACCCACGCAAATATTGCAGACCCCAACAAAAACTTGTCAATATAATCAAATATCTTTCTGCAATCCTATTTGGAATTTTAACAAATCCACTCGTTTTGTACAGATTGAGAATCCAAAAAATTCCAATCTTGATAACAAATGCAGGTCAAACATCATCTTTACTTACAATTCAAACGGACCCAGCTATTTATACCCCAACAATTTTTAATTTAAATTGAACTTTTTGTCCTTATCTCAAGTCAATATTAAACAAGATCAGTGGGGAAAAAACAATTATTTACAAACCTGCTGTAAGAATAGATTTAAAACAAGATTTTTGATCAATTCGAGGCCACAAAACATACTTGGCAGTCTTCCTCTTCTGTTTCAGGGTCAACATACACAACGTCAAACTCATCCCTGTTGCCATAGGAACAACAAAACAATTGGAGATAGACTTTATACCTAAAAAATAAAAAAAAAATAACCCAAGTTCAACATATGGTGAGTTTTCAAAATACTGTAGGTCATGATAGTGGTTTTCAAATTTTTCAACATACACTTCCTTTGTCACAGAGGTTGACATGGAAAATGTTTTTTTTTTTTTGGGAGGGGTACAAATTCAAAGACCTGTTGTGTGCATGGAACAGTTAAAAATATGAAAGGGTTTTGTAGAAAAATCCACTATTGTGTAGAAAAGAAGCACTTTTGTAGATTTCCCCTCATATTGAAGTATGGCCATGTAACACAGGTGTTTTAATAAATGAATCAAAATATCCAAGTTTCATAAATGACAAAATACATAGTCAAGATTTAAGTATCCTGCAATCCTTTATACCTGCAATTTTAATAGCATCCTGAACCAGTGAATTGGTTAATTTCATCAGTAAACTAGAACCAGCAGCTTTTGGTTGAACTGCAGTAATATCACCTGATCTACCTATACCATGACCTAAACTAACAACTTTACATATTTAAGGCAGATTCTTAAATCTTCTATGATCAATGATGTGTCAATAACATAGAAGTTTTCAGGAGTCAAACTTAAAAGGCTTCATTCGAACTTGAGAACCTCAAAAAGGTTCACTATGGCTAATTTGTTACAAGCTGTAGATTTAATAACATATGATGTCACTGTGACAAGTTTTATTACTACTTCCTTTTCAAATAATTATCATTCAAAAATAATGGCCAGTCTTGAAACTCTTTAACATGCAATTTTATTTATGTATGACAGTATCTTAACATCAAGTCAAATTGTAGCTAGGATGTTGAAATTCTGGAGTCTTTTAACTTACACGGAAAAAAATGTTGATTATATGATTGAAGACTGTTCTACTTCATGTCTTATCTATGATATATCAAGGGCCCTTGTAAAATCTACGACAATTGATTTGATTTAGATGATCACAAGTGTGATTCTGCATTAAAATATTTTTACCCATAATGCCTTTTATAAACTAATGAAGAATATATTCTGGCTTCTCTTTCACCAACTCCACAGTTCCCATTGAAATTATTGCTATCCATAATGGCAATATCTTGTAAAAACATTTCTATAGTAATATTATCCCAACCAGTGTCAGGCATCTTTTTCTAAAATTAAAGTATCAAATATCATAAATAATCATGCAAAAATTTTCACACCTCAAATTGCAATCTACAGTTGAAAATAGATGTTCCTGATTTTGCATAAATATGTACTGTTATTTTGATATATCACAGATTGTGTTTTATATGGTAGAATATCAATAACTGTCAAGATACTTAGACTGTTGGTTTTTGTGCTTATATGTAGTTATCTTTTAAAGATCAACAAGATATTAGTTGAATAATTCTAGAAAATGACAGCCAAAACTGAGAGCTATGTAAAACAATTTCAATGAGTATATAAAAGTGGGAGTATGTTGTTTGTTAAGCATTTACAGTAAAGCGTTCTCAGCCCGGTTACCGTTTACAGTACACCAATTTATCAAGTCACAAAATTCATTCATTCCGTTCTGAGAACAGATAAATTTTGTAATGTAAAAGGGGTTTAACTTACATGTTGAATAAGTTGCCGTATTAAATTTTCTCTGGCATGTTTAGCTTGAATACCTTGTTGTATATAGTTACTAGGTACTATCTTCTCACTTAATTTAACTGCTTCTTCGTTCATCTTTCTATTAATATTCACAGATTGTTGCTTTTACCTCAGTTAATTGTAGGTTTTATTCTAGATATCTTTAATATTTTCTAGATCACTCAGATTAGTTTCTTGTGTATTTCTTAAAAGAGAAATTTAAAAGAAAAAATGAACTCAAAAGGTGTTTATTCCAAATTTTGATCACTGAATATTCTCATATCAGTAGCGAACTATTTTTGTTCTAATGACAAGGAGTGATAAACAAAAAAGTGCGGATTTTGAAAATATCATGTTACAATGATCATGTACATGAATAAACCTACTTATTAGATTATTATACATTTGTGATATGAAATGTCTATTGAACAGCTGCCATCCGCAATTCATGGCATCAGATTACCTTAAACAAATTTCCATTGAGGAACCTATCTTGACTCTGGCAAACATCATGGTTTAATTTTTGTTTTCATTCTACAATCTTTTAAAGGTCATTCAGCTCCTACCTGCATCTCAAAAACCTCTACCGTGTGGAATATGTACGTTTTTCACATCATTTTGAAAATAAGAAAAGCAGGAAAATATTTGAGATGTCAGACGTCAGATAAAAATTTAATTTACCTAATTATGAAAAATAATAATTATAAAATATGATGTTTAATATATTGGAGAAACCCAAAATGCTCCTTTTAGCAGCCATCATTTCGAACTAAAGATAGACCAATCGTGAATTATTTCAACCTACCCAATCATTCCATTGAAGATATTCTTGTCTTGCCAATTGAATATGTTCCCTTATTGCCTGTTAAACCCAAAACCAAGCGATTGCAGAGAGAGTTTCTGGATCGACCAATTGCAAACCGTAGTACCTAGTGACCTAAATATCCAACATGACAATCAAATCATACCCTTTGTTGCAACCTATAATTCCACTAACAATAACAATATATAACAATTGTTTTGGATTATTTGTAAGCATAGTATTATTTCAATCTTTTCAGAATTTACATTATTGTAATTTTCCTTGTATCATTCTGCAATCCTAGACAGTCTAAGTAAAGCTGAATCTGTTGCATAGCCCTTGAGTAACCTTAACAGTAGGCTGTTTGTCTTTTAAAATTCACTAATTTACATTTTATCAACTTTACAAATCATGTGTCAGAAACAGGGTTTTTGAAGCTTACATAATCAGTAATAGTCACGTGATCAAGTAGCGGATTCCGTGTCAGCAGTACATTTCTATGGAACACAAAGTGGACCATATTCTTATGTTGTTTCAATGACTTTTAGAAATAAATCGCGCTACGTATCTTATTTTGTCAGTCACTATTTTTTTTAAAAAATTGTGGTTCTTTAAAGGAATTGTCACTAGTTATAAGAATTGGTATTAAAGATAAATATTAAGAGAAATTAATTATACCACCCGGTAAATAATAGGTGACGCAACGCATTCTGCGGCCGTTGCCGAGTTGGTTGCTCATGAAATATGGGTCAAAGTGAAGGATTCATAAAGAATATCAAAATAAACCAATTTTAATGATTTTATAGAATATCTGAGGAAACATTTAAGACATAAAAAAAAAAAAAAAAAAAAAAAATTGGTTTTTTAAACTTTGACGAAATTCGGTGTTGAATCCTTATATCCACGAAAATAGGTTACACCACTGTACTTCTAATTAAGACTATCAAAGCACAATAAAGACCAATATCAATCCCCGAAAATGCAGACTGTTCCCTTTAACCTGAAGGTAAAGAGTTCAATCCCAGCCTAGGTCAATTTCAGTGATGCAGGTTACATGACATGTAAAAGCTTCCTGTCATTCAGGTGGGACATTCATTCAAATGAGGTCAAGTGTGCGTCGACTCTCTCTCTAATAGTATATATATACAACACTAAATATTAACCTTTGACGATCAATGTCACTGATATGTTATTTATATAGATCAGTGACTATGTTCATGTTACCAATGTTCATCTACTTTCGCTTTCTTTTTTTAAAACCGGAAATAGCCGATAATCAACACGTGACATTGATAGGATTCAGACAACAGTTGATTTACTGATATGTAAGCCAGTTCATAAGAAAAGTTGATACATTGGAATGGGCAATATTGTTTAATTTTCGAACAAAACTTTCAACTGATTTCTGTCACTGATTCATGTTAATATTTTTTGAATGCCTAAACTGTACTGTTTCTGTATTTCATAAAAGGGGTTGTTTGATTTGGACACAACAACCTTCAACAACAATACAGTGGTGTAACCTATTTTCGTGGATATAAGGATTCAACACCGAATTTCGTCAAAGTAAAAGAAACGTAAAAAAATTTTTATGTCTTAGATGTTTCCTCAGATATTCTACAAAATAATAGAAATTGGTTTATTTCGATTTTCTTAATGAATCCTTCAGTTTGACCCATATTTCATGAGCAACCAACTCGGGAACTGCGGCAGAATGCGTCACCTATTTTCATGTACAATGTTTGATCTATAAATAAGTCTAGAAAAACACGTTGTATGGATACCGGGTGGTATAATTAATGTAGTATTGTGGTCTGAATAATTAGAACTCGAAATAGAGTTGTTTCCCTGCATAATTTTAGTTACTGGATTATCAAGATCTTTATATAGTTTGTTTATGTATGACGCCATTGTTGTTGATAATTAAATATATAAATTAAGTTTTTGCGGATTCTATGAGCTAGTGAGGCCATTACAATTACATATGGCGACGAGGATGGTGCCGGTTTAAAGAACTTTTGTAGACTAAATTTTATTGACATTTGTGGAAAAATAGACACAAATTTCTTCATTTTTGCTTGAAGTAGGTGTAAATTTTGAAAGGCGGGAAAACATTTTCCATCATCCACCAACAGTCAATAATAGTAGAATTTCATTGTTTATACAACCAGGCCAAACCAAAACAGCAACATGGCTAATCCTAGCAGAGACATTAAGATATCACCATTCATTGCTGATGCTGACCCAATTTCAACCGGTCCAAAGTGGGAAAAATGGATGGATGAGTTCGAAACCCGTCTTCGTTATTTTCGCATCACCGATGACCAGGATAGACTGGATGCTTTGAAGATTTACGGTGGACGTGATATTCGAGAAAAGATCAAACATCTTAGAGATGTAACACCTGATGACAGTGGTGAGGGTGAAGAAGAAACGGGAGCAAACAATTCAGCATACACAGCAGCAGTAGAAAAGCTAAATGGTTACTATATTCCACTCAAAAACACTGCCCATGCAAGATTTCGATTCGGGAATTTGCGTCAGACGGAAGGCGAAACAATCAACCAATATGAAGTAAGGCTTCGTGAAGCGTCTCAGTACTGTGAATTCAATGACACTGATGAACAAATTTTATATCATCTAGCTTTGACTATTACTGACACTGAATTTAGAAGACAGGCTATGGACAAAAAGTATGATTTACAAAAATTCTTACAGAAAGCTCAAAGCAGAGAAGATACTCACCGTAGAGCAGGAGAAATAGAGGCCAAAAGGGAACGTCAAGTCAATAAAGTCCTTTCATATAAACCCAGGCCTAACACACCAAGAAGTCAATCAAGAAACAGACGGTGGTCAAAAGAAAATAAAAGTCAACCAAAGAATGTAAAATCAGACTGCTCATTTTGTAATGTCGACCATCAACAGGGTAGACACAACTGTCCCGCATCTGGTGTTCAGTGTAACAACTGTGGTGGTTACGGACATTTTGCTGTCAAATGTTTAAAGCCTCGCAATCATGGTTCTAAAAATAAATATCGTAAGCACAGTAGAGTAAAGGAGGTTTATGAAGAAGATGTATCTGATTCGGACTGTGTTTATAAAACTTGGATTAACTCTGATAAAGATGAATTTTCATCAACTGTCAAAATCAATTTGTTCAATTTGAAATAGACACTGGGTCAAGTTCAAATTTATTGGATGAAGATCGTTTTAACAAAATTCAAGACAGCATGAATGCTATTGTGACATGCCAAAATAATAGCAAAACAGAAACTGTAAAATTCATTGTAGTAAAGGGTACGGTCAGGTCTAGTCCATTATTAAGCCTTGCAACATCAATGAGTTTAGGACTAATCCAATTCAACAAACAGGTTCATAATGTACAGCCATCGTGTAATACTGTGGACAATATAGTAGACAATTTTTCAGATATATTTACTGGTTTAGGTAAGCACACCAAATACAACCCATCATTTATCGTCGACAACTCTGTTATACCCGTTATCCAGAAACAGAGAAAAGTA